TGTGCATGCCCAAGGTCAGCCCTTGTGCTGGGCTAGGTGCCCGTGTGTAGTGATTCCCCCTTCGGGTGATCCCACAGGTGTATTCTTCCACGGTACGGCTCCCCTCACGGTAAGCCCGTGTCTTTCCCTGGCAGTCGTCCTCTGCCATCTCTGCTGCGTAGTCATCTCACCCCAGGCGGGTTGAGTCTACCGCAGGGACTTCCATATGTAGCACTGCCCTGGGCCAGTCCATATGTGTAATTCCACATGATACCTCCTATGCGCAGGATGTGGCTTCCATAGCGTTCCCAACTGGGTACGCTTTCCCAGTGTTATCCAATGTACCACTGTACGGAACAGCACTGGCGGACACCTCTGCCTAGCCCTGTCCTATCTTCCGCCCCAACTGCTGTGGGGGGACTTGCCGGCTTCCGCAGGGCACTGGAGGGGGTCAGCGATAGTGGCGTTTTCCATACGGATCCCAATTCGTCAGTCACGACTGATGTAACGTCTCCGTTCCCTCCTTCAGGGAACGAGGGTTACACAAGTAACAGAGACGTTATTCTTATTTAGTTGACTTCATTTGTTAGGATTTTTTACCAAAGCAAAGTCTATGAGAATCTGACACATTGCACTTCTGGAGACTCCAGGAAGGTTGCAGTTCTGGAAAATGATGGTGCTGGAGACTAAAGGGTTCTTGATGGTTTCACACCTAATTCTTCACATTAATTCTTAATTATTTTGCAGTTAACGTGTCTTCTCAACCTGTTTTTTTCTGACCCTGCTGATCCAATAAACATTTAGCTGTCCAATGGTCATGCCTTAACTTTGAAAATTCTAGTATTGCATCCTTCTCATGGGCATTTAATCATTTTTTATTTATACAATTTTTTGGCTCATTTTATCTGTAAAAGAAAACATACCTAATAATTATCCACATCTGAATATAAGTTTTGCACTTCCAGCCTTCAAGGACAATTATAGTTCACTTATAAATGTGTCAGCAAATACACAAAGGTACACTGAGGTAAGTGCACACAACAGCAGGTTTATTAACCGAGCAGGCAGATGTAAGCAAGACAACTGATCCTGGTGAGTATTAGGGGAATGGCAAGGGTTCTGGGTTCTTATCTGTGAGGAGTAATGAGTCTTTTTCCAGGGAATCCTAGGAGAACAGCAGAGCACGGGGAACAAAGGAGTGTAAGAGCTTAGGAGCAGGTCATCGGGGGAGCTTGGAAACAGGTAGGAACCAGGTAAGTAAGCCTAGCCAACTGTGAGACCAGACAACTGTGACAACGAGGAGAGTGCAAGGATATAGTGAGCTTTGTAAGTATTGCCTATTTTACATGTAAAATAAAAAAGACATACCATCAGGTCCAGTTGGGGCAGTGTCAGATGTGAGTGGAACCTCAGACTCTGCTTCTGAAGGTGGGTGAGGAGTATCCATCTCTTCCACATCACTGTCACTGTCATCTGTTTCATCCCTAAAGACAGCTATAATACAGAGGCATATTAGTAAAATACATGGTTTTTAACCACAGATCATGATATGTGTTTAGTGTGATTTGGATTTATGCATTCATAGTTTTAGAATAGCACTCAGGAGTGCACTTTTTCTGTACGATACTGAAATTAGTACCAGTATATCAATATAGGGACTTCTCTGATTAAAGCAAATGTGTTGCCCTGAATATACCCAAACTCATGTCACTGTTCACTTTCTAGCTGGTCTACTAACCTGGTTGAGGGTGTATGGGGCTGTTCTGACCTACACTCGCTTCTTCCTGAACCAAGATGTCTCCTGTTGAGCAGCCAGGCTCTGAAATCACTGCGTGTAAACCATCAGACTGACTCTCCCTCACTGGCTGGCATGGCTTTTTCTTTGCAAAAAAATACTGAATATATCCCTGCCTTTTCATCCTGTTACACTGTCTGAGATAACAGAGGTAAAAAAGAGGAAAATTATTATTTGTTTAAATGCTATTGTTTTATTGGCAGATTACAAAAACGTAATATCTTTAATTAACTGGTAAATGAATAGTTTAGCCATTCAAATGTTAAATCTGTCACCCTTTATTCACACATTATTGTCAGGACATAAACTAGACTGAAACAGAGGATACCGAATCAAGACAGGTGTTTACTGAGCAGTTGGAGAAAAAGGTAAGTATTGCAATGATTATTAACTGAATTGGTTAAGGAGTAATAATAAATGCCCTTTTCTTTCACAGGGGAAGTGGAGTGCAATTATTATTTGTTTAAATGCTATTGTTTTATTGGCAGATTACAAAAACGTAATATCAATATCTTTAATTAACTGGTAAATGAATAGTTTAGCCATTAAAATGTTAAATCTGTCACCCTTTATTCACGCATTATTGTCAGGACATAAACTAGACTGAAACAGAGGATACCGAATCAAGACAGGTGTTTACTGAGCATTTGGAGAAAAGGGTAAGTATTGCAATGATTATTAATTGAAACGGTTAAGGAGTAATAATAAATGCCCTTTTCTTTCACAGGGGAAGTGGAGTGCACACATTTGGAAGATGGCAGAAAGCACACATCACTGCAAACACAGGTAAGTATCCAGGTAATGATGGTATGATACACAGGTTTGCAGGTGTTTAACAAAGTGGAGTCAACAAGGGACATCGCTGGAGACAATGACTGCTTACAGGCTATCCACAATGGTGAGTATAGCAGGTAAAAGTTCAAGTTCAAACGAGGAGAGAAGAGTTATGCGTGCTTTAATGCAGGGCTGATTGATAAGCTGATGAGCAGCAATTGATGGTCATCAGAAGGCTGGTGAGAGAGTGCTGTGTGTAAGTGTGTGTGTGTGTGTGTGTGTGTGTGTGAATGTGTGCTTCTGTGAGTGTGTATGTGTGTGCTTCTGTGAGTGTGAGTGTGTGTGTGTGTGTGTGTGTCTGTGACGGGAGAGCCTGGTGAATACATGACACATATATTGTTCCAAACCTGTGTGACTTTCGTTTTTCCATGTTACAAAATAAATTGTCAAGTCAAGTCACATTTATTTATATAGCGCTTTTAACAATACAGATTGTGTCAAAGCACTGTACCGTATCAAATAGGAAAATAGTGTGTCAATTATGTAAAATGACAAGATTAAACACTCAAATTTCAGTTCAGGCATTTCATTATTGAATTTAGTGATGTCAAGGTCCAGCTCGGTTCAGTTTAAATAGTGTCTGTGCAGTCAAGTCAACAATATCTCTGGAAATTAAGTGTCCTCGAACTGTGAAGAATGTTTGTCCATACTGTATATAATAAAAGTCAATGGTGATCAAAATAGAGCTTGATTTGTTTTCCACTGCCTTTCATTACAGTGGACAAAAGCATTTTCTTTTTCTTTTCTTGTTTCATGGAAGAAAGGAAATCATGAAGGTTAGGAATAACATGAGGAAGAGTAAATGATAACAGAAACTAAATATGTGTGAAAGGTTTAAAGCACTAAGTTTCTAAACGAAATGTTAAATTTGACATTGGTCACATTATTGAAACTACAAAATGTGCTATTAATGATTATTAACAAGTTTATAAAACACAAGTTACACATAGAAAATATCTTAATAATCTCTAGATATTAGTCAAATAATCCATAAGAAACAGGTGCATACCCATACTGTACATGTGGTGAACGAAGTTCGAGGTCATGCTCGGGTTGCAAATTGTGCATACCCCAAAATTTGTTCGTAGATTCTCCCTACCCCTATATTGTTCTGTGTTTGCACAGCGTCATGCAGCCGCATAGATCTGACCAGAGGCATGTGGCTTGCATTTTGTATACGCTATTGTCGCAAAGATTTTTAATTTATTTTATTTTTTCATTATAATTCTTATAAAGTCATATCGAGTCAAGCGATTTAGATTTAAAGGGGTCCTATTATGCTCGTTTACAAAGTCTTGATTTTGTTTTGGGGGTGTACTAGAACATGCTCTCATGTTTGGTGATTCGAAAAACACATTATGTTTCACATAATTTACATTATTAAAATACCTTTCTCCCCAGCCTGGCACAAACGGCTCGATTAGTTCCGGCTTTGATGAAGGTCCGCCTTCCGAAAAACAAAATGTGTTGTGATTGGTTAGCTGTCCCAGTGCGTTGTGATTGGCGAACAGCTTAGACGGTGCTTCAGTACTGCCCCGCCCCTTGCTCCGTCTTTCAACAAAAGCTTTTGGGAATCCGGCAGGCACTGTACTGCCTTGTGTTGTGGACGTTGTCCTCAGTAAAATGCGCAGCACACAATAGCAAATTGGGGTTATAATGCTCAGGAACAGAGTTAAAAAATAAATTGCAACCACTGTTTCCTGACATCATCCGCTTTCGGAAGTGATACTGCGCATGCGCGATTCAGCGTGAAGCTACCGAACAGATGGCCTAATATGACTGACACAGCACGTCTGAACCGAACTGGTTCTTTTGGAGAACTGATTCTGTGCTAATGTTATGAGCGCGGGTAAACCGAAGACTTGAAAGAAGGGCAATCCGTCGAAACGTAAGTTTACTTAATTACAAATAAACCATAATGGATTACACATAGTAAGTGGAGCATAGTTTATGTGCTGATGAAGACTAATTTATTGACGTCATAACTGTAAAACATCCTAGTTTGCAGATCACTGCCTGTATATGTGTTGATGGGTTTATTGAATCAATCTGTTCGAAAGAACCGGTTCGCAGAAAAGAACCGAACTTCCCATCACTATTCTGATGAGCCGCTTTGTGATATCACAAAGCCCGGAAACCAA